ATGTATCATGTGAGACACTCATGCTCCGACCTCCAGTGAGGCCGGCAGACCCGGTCCAGATGCGCAGAGTAACAGCCACGTGAGGCTGCCTTGGAAGCAAGCCTGCCCCACAGGACACCCTGGGACCACAGTTCCAAGACCTGCCGTGTGGACCCTCAAGCAGAGAGGAAACAATTCAGTTGAGTACAGGGCATAGGACTACATGTGCTCCCCTTCTTTTTTTCCCCCATTGATTACTTTTTAGGAGCAGTTTTCTGCTCCCAGCAAAACTGAGTAGAAAGTACAGAGAGATCCCATGTCTGTCCCTCCGCATGCACATCCTTCCCGGGCTTCGCATTGGTCATAAAGCCACTTTCCAGTGAAAGCAGGTTTTGGGTGCTGCATGCGAAATTATAGCTTTTCAAGGCCACTTCTGACTCCTTGGGAAGCACCTTTTTTGGGGGATTGAGGACCCCTCTGACGGTTTCCACTGCATCCTCCCTGGCATCCGAAGCCCCTAGCTTCCCCCTAACTTGGTTGGGAAGTCATTTTGCTTCACCGCGTGACATCTCTCGCTTACAAAGCCGCCTTCCAAACAGTAGCCAACAACCTGCTCAGTTAACACAGCCAGCGCTCCTTCCATGAGAGTGAGGGGCACGTCGTGCATTTGGGCAGCTGTCTTGCGGGGCTCCAGATGAAAGAGCAGCTTGCCCAAGCCCTCCTCCCAGGAGCCCCCTCCCCAGCGTGGGGCTTCATACACTACCGAGAGCAAACCTACTTCCCAGCACCACCGCCCCTGCACGCACGCCGCCCACCTTATTCAAAGTGTCAGCCTGGCTCACTTTTCTGCAGAGGCCTCCCAGGCCGGCCAGGAAGCCTCAGTGAATAAATTATTTACTGTGTTTAATTATCATGGTACAGATTTATTAAGCTTCTTGGTTACCTAGGAGCTCGTGTAGCTGTTGTGAAGAGTTTGCTTAACTTCGAATAATAGATGTTTTGTTTGAAAACAAATGCCTTTGTGCCTGCTGCTACCATCTCTGTGACGTCTGTGGGGCTGGGGGTGCTGTGGGTGGCGCTGTGTGCTGGTAAATGTGTAACAACTGGCTCTTGAGGGGTACGGAGGCAAAAACTCTGATTTTCAGTGCTTGCTGATCACTGCAGCGTGAATACCATGGCCAACAGGAAGTTATGAAACACGGAGTTGGGATGGGATGTGCAGCCCCGTGCCAGTTGATATGTACGAAAAAATATATATTTATATCATATGTATAAAAACATATATATATATATATATATATATATAATATTTCTACCATACAGACACAGTATTAAATACAGGAGCATAGCTAATAGTCAAACATACTAAAATTATTCAGAAGCATTGGATTTTGAGTCTCTCTTACTTTTGGGTTTTTTTTTTTTCCCTATAGCTGATTTCATCATGAGGTTAGATAATTTAGTGGTTTACAATGGGTGTGTCCAACAGCCAGCTCCCAAAATTCCTGGAAGTTTAGCTCCCTTGAGTTGGTGAGACCAGGCTTCAGGACACCACTGTGTGTGTCACTGACTGCCGGTTTCAAATTGCATCCTGCGTTCCCATGAAGTTCACGGTGCAGTCCTAATTCAGGCTTGTTCCTAACAGGGCATTTCCCTGTGCAATTCTCTGCTGGGGTGTGTCGAGCCGGCTGGCATGCTGCTAAGTGTCCTCGACAGCAGCAGACACGCGTACCCAGGCTGGTACAGCCCAGACAGTTCTGTTGTACTGACATTAGGGACAAGAGTATTTTGCCAGAAGCTATAACGAGATGATACTGTAACAACAGCATGATGACACCAGATTCTGTTTTGCAATTTTCTTTAATATTTATGCTGGATAAATAATTTATCTCTTTTTTTTCAGTTTTTTTTTTTCATCTCAAACATGTTGATACAGACAGGTGCTAGGTTTCCCTGAATGACTAAAGCAAGGATTTGGTTATTTTTGCCCCCACCGCCACCCGAAAAAAAGTGTGTCAGCAGAGTTGCACCCCCGGGAATTGTTTCCACGACTCCCCATCCCATCCACTAATACAAACGAATGAGATCTATTAGGACCAGCCCCCACGTTTGAAGGGAGTCACTTATCCCAGTTATATCTTTGCATGTCGTTATAACATCAAGACCATCATACGCTGAGGGGTTTGAAAACTCAGGAAGTCCTGGCTGACCTGTCGTCTGTTTGGGACTTAGGGTAGGCAGTCGTTTCTTCTTGCCCCGAGTTTCCTAACTTGGCACTGTTGACATTCGGTGCTGGGTCATTCTGCATTGTGAGGCTCTGTCCTGTGCGTGGTAGGATGTTTAGCTGCATCCCTAGACTCTACCTATTAGATGTTAGTAGCAACTCCTGTACCCAAGATGGGATGATAGGAAAAAAATGTATCCAGGTGGGACATGGGTGTAGCTCAGTGGGAGAGGTCTTTGGTTCAATCCCTGGTACCTCCATAAAAAAAAAATGTCCAAATATTGCCAGTTGCCCCCCAGGTGGAGAAGCAGGATTCAAGAGTCACAGTTCTTAACCCCTTTAAAAATATAGGAAAGGGAAAATAGAGATCCTCTCATTGTATTTAGCCTCTCTTTCTCTGGTTTTTAAGACCATTCCAGTCCCTGCAAAACACTAGAAATGGGAGTAAGGCAACCTTCAGTCACCAAATAAACTTCTGCCCAAGGGACCTAGACAAGAGGGAGAAAAGCAGTCTTTCTACCCAAGGACCACTCCCCAGCATCCCCTAGGCTCCTGAGGAAGAAACGCATCATGAGAAGTAGGGTCACGGGAGTGGCTTTTCTTTCTCAGACTGCTGTTTGCTGTGGTTGCAAGCTAGTTCCGGAGCTGTGGGGCAGGTGGGTATCTCACTGGGGCCTGGGCAGCGTGTGTTGTGGACGACGTGAAAGGTTCATCCTGGAGGGGATGAAAGAGGTGAATCTTTACCTCGAATCCCCTGTAAGTTGACTCGGTCTGAGCAGTTAGCACAGGGTGAATTTCACGATTCCTTTGTGGATGATCGAAGCTCCCTCCCAGTGGCAAAGCAAGTTCTGCACGGCTCACCTCTAGCTGCCTTTGGCGTGTGGTCTAGGTGAAGGACAGCTCTTGGAATTTGTAACCTGTTTGACCTCCACAGTGGTACACCCCAGCCCTTTTACCAGGCCCAAGAGGGCTGCAGTGGAGCTTTTCCTGAGTTTTTTTCTCCGCAGAGGTAGGACTCCCTGACGGTTCAGCTGGGTCTGAACCTGGTGGCAGGGATGCCTTGCTGGCCTGACCTTGTACCTGGGCCCTAAGACAGATGATCCCAGGGCCTTGGGAGCTGCTGTGGTGGGTGACCTCGGTGTTCTGTCATCTTCAGGCGTGAGCTGAGACAGCGAGTGTGGTGATCTGTGGGTCAGGTGAGCCTGGAGTGTTCCTTCTGGACCACTTAGGAACGGTTTGACCCTGGAGCCACTGACTGCACCCCTCTGGGTCTTAGTTTCCTTGCCTCTTCAGTGGACAGGACCATCTCCTTGGCAAAGTAGAGGGGTGATCAGATTAAGTAGTGAACGTTCAGTGTCTGTATTAGCGCTGCTGCAGAGTTGGCCTTCAGAAAGCCCCGCCTGCTGTTCCTCATCTTGAATCTTATTCCCATTTAGGTCATTCCCTCAAACAGTGGCCCTTGGCTGCCTTGTCTCCTCCTGCCTCTAGGACATGTAAGTGCCCAGTTCTTCAGAGTGCCTGAATCCTGCCGGAGCAGGCCCTTTCCAAGACAGCTAAGGAGATCAGCGGTCACTACTTGCCTTCTGGCTGAGGTGAGATTCTCTGCTTACTCCTGGCAGATCAGTAGTGAAAGCACGTTCTGTTAAGTTTTACTAGGAGTCATTCATCTCCCTGAGCCTCAGTTTCCCTATCTGTGAAGTGAATCTCCACAGAATGATGATGGGGAGTTAGGTCAGGTGAGGCTGGCAGTCAGACACCAAGAGGGGCTTCCACACAGGAGCCCCGTTCTCTCTGTGCCCCCAGGTCAGGTGTCATCATTCCACTTGGAGTAATCACTTGCCCACGAGGAGGGTGTTCTCTCTCTTGGCTGAAGCTTTCACTCCGTGTACTCAATAGCATGTATTTCAGTGTCTACAAAACGCCCTTTGAGAGAAGACAATAAGGACATTTGTGATCTCTTTTTTTTTTCTTCTAGTGACGTTTCCAGTGAGACTCAAGTTCTCATTCCTCCCTTAGAAGAAGTTTTCAAATATGTGTGTATGTGTGCATTTAGCATGCAGTCATATACATTTGAATGTTGAAAGTGAATTTGGTCGGGCCTTATATTTCCAGAAAGGCCTAACTCTGGTTCTGTGCGGTCTCCTAGTCCCACTCTCCACGATCCTAGGACAGGATCGAAATAACACCCAGGCCAGAGTCTGTAATAATGGACGGGTGCCATTTGGGGGTCTTGGCAATGGCTAAGGGGAATTTGGAGACCCTCAGAACAGGTCATCTGTGATCTGAGACCACAGTTCTGGCTGAAACGCTTGTCCCGAAAGCTGCTGAGAACCAAAGGATGTATCGTTGATGTGGGTAACAGTTTGGGGGGGGGGCGGCGCTCACAGATAGTCGGATGATTTTAATGTTTATATTCCACTGGGGTAAGCTCTAACAAAGACCCATCATTTCCCAGATAACCAATTCTTTTAAAAGAACATCTGTTGAAACTGGCAATTTACATTCTTCTTAAAATACGGAGCGACATAATTAACCCTCTGGGGAGACTAATATTAGTTTATTAGAGACAATTTCTAGTTCTGTTTATTTTTACACTAAACGATTTGTTCAGATGGGGGGGATTTTTTTTTTTGGTCACGGTGTGGGTTCGCCTTTATTTGGGGTTGACTCTTCGCAGTCAAGGACACAGAAAGAAGATAGGTGATAATATAACATCATGATAATCATCCACTGTGAACCCATAGAAGCATACTGAAAGGGCTTGAGATTGTTTGAGATTTAGATTTGGCATTGTACTAACTTTCCGGTATAATTAGCTTATTTTAAAGTGACCTAATCTGTAATCAATGCCTGCATTTACATGGCTTCCTTTGTCTTCTGTCGCTGCGCTGGGCTCCTTGGGCACCCATACTTTGTGGAATTCTCTTGGGCTCCTTGCCGTGGTCTCTGTAAGGGATTTACTACGTTCTGCCCAGGAAGACCAGGATCACTCCTTTGTTTCCAGCCTTGGACCGATTTCAGATGTCTTGCTTGTTAGGGGACGGAGGACAGAGAGGACAGAGCCTTTTGACCTTAGGCAGAGGCCACGTGGAATGCAGGTCCCTCTGACCGGCCCGCGGTCCTTCTCTGAACTAAGAGCACACGCACTTAAACATGCAGGCATTTTGCCCTCCGTTCTGTGTCCCGCATCAAATTAAGTCAGCTCCCGTCTTCCACACGGTGACTCTTCAGACGTGGGGTTCCCTTCCATGCGACATTCTGCTGCTTCTTTTCTCCGAGCTAAGAACACTGTTACTCAGCCAATGAAACGGCTCCGGGAACCTTCCCTATTACCATTTGCTCTGTTGCAATATAGGGCTCAGTAGCAGGAGTTCATACAGTAACATGCCAAAGAGTCACGGTGAGCTCCTGGGCTCGGCTCACAAGTCCCCTGACCTGACCCAGCCGACCACCCCAGACTCCTTTCCTCCTCCTTGCCTTCCTCGGGCAACTTGAGGCTTTAGCCAAACTGAGCTGAGCTCACCAGGCTGAACCCACTATGCTAGCTCTGCCCTCCCCCCAGGCTCCGCATCCTGTCCTTGGCTCCCTGGTCTGTTGGCAAACTTCTCCTCATCCTTCAGAACTCAACTCTT